TTTGTCTTTTTGGGAGCTGACACAGTCTCTGTGTCAGCTCCACATCCTTTGTTCCTGTTGCTGACCTGTTCAGCAGACTGTCTGTCCGTGCTTGTCAGATTAAAACTTATTGGTCTGTATTTCCACAATCACTTGGCAGCACTCGCCAAAGGATGACGTTTTTAAAAAATTTTTTTTTATTACCTTAGATGTTCCTTTCTTTATGGTTTCAACCTCAAAACGAACCTTAGATTTTATCCCTGTTACTGGCAAGATTCCTAATTAGTGAGTCAGTATTGTTAGTTTTATGTTTGTCTTTGGTTTCATATTGTGAAATGTGAGCTTGACAGCCATGAGGAGGCAGTTGCAATCATAGTTCTGCTGTTCTTTGTTCTTCTTCTCAAAGTATTTTCTTGATTTCTTACTTTGGAAACAAATTTGTTTATAAGTGGCTACACATGATATTTGTCATTTCGATAAATAATCCAGCACATTGATTAATGCTTATTATCCACCAATTACCATTATAAATGAAAGGAATTTTACTTCAACTTTAAATTTTGGGTGTATTAATAATTCTCTGAAACATCCGTTAACTCCAAAATCAATACATTCATAATAGCATGTTGTAGTAAGTTAAAAAAATAATTTCTTGTCATAAAAAAGTACTATTATTTTTCAGATTATAACACCAGTGAACAGAAGCAAGCCTGTAAGAAGCACGAGCTTTATGTCAGCTTTCGGGACTTGGGTTGGCAGGTAAAACACAAATATTCGACATCTCTTACAATGAAAAAATTGTTAGGTAATCACACAAAAATGACTCATTTAGTCAAATTATGAGATAATCAATCAGGTATACTAAATGTCTTCTTTTTCTAAAGGATTGGATCATTGCACCGGAGGGCTATGCTGCTTTTTACTGTGATGGCGAGTGCTCGTTTCCACTCAACGCACACATGAATGCAACAAATCATGCTATTGTGCAAACTCTGGTAAGCATTCTTTACAGTGTATCCCGCATGCGCGTTGCAGTAAAGTCTGGCTATAAGCTAATAACGTTCTTACCATTTGTAACTCTCTGCTGTTGCACCTCTTTAAACTCTACTTTATGCTCTCATTTATAGGTCCACTTAATGTTTCCTGACAATGTGCCAAAACCATGCTGCGCCCCAACCAAGCTCAATGCAATATCAGTACTTTACTTTGATGACAGCTCAAATGTTATCCTGAAGAAATATAGAAATATGGTAGTTAGGTCTTGTGGGTGCCATTAACGGGCGAGGCCAATTTTAATTTATGCAGTCTGGCATGGGAATTGCTGGAGGTGTGATGTCATGTTCAGTATTATGTATATAGAGTTTTATTAATTTATTTTACTTTTAAAAAAAAATAGCACTGAATATTTTGATATTTAAATGATTAGGACAAAATACTGATTTTACTTTACAACAGTTATCATTTAACTTCTGTGTCCGTTGGCATATACTTTGTATTGGTTAGGACTGTATATCTTTTATGAGAAAACTGTTCACTGGAGTCACTATGATCGCTTCCTCTTCTGTTGTTTTCTTTTCTCCTTTTTTTTCTATACATAGTGTGCTACAAACGCTATAAACACTGTATTTCAATGTTCATTTCTTAATGAGTTCATTCCCAGTTCAGAACGGTAATCGTTCATGACAGACGCATACAGAATAATGTCCCGCGATACTGTAACACAAGCACATTTTATTAACAAGGGGGATCTCCATATTATGCTATTAACACTAACGTCTCAACTTCAACAGGCTCTTGGAAATATTTCAAATTAAATCGGATCACAGGATTAAAATAACACACTGAGCGTTCTCTAATATAAACCAAACTGCCCAAAGCTGTTTTCAAGCTGTCACCGTCTTTCAGCGTTGATACTGTTTCACCTTTTCCAAGCCAGTTTTTTTTCTCTGGTGTTCTCAGAAAGGGAATATGTCAGTCTGGAATGAAACACGTATAATGTTGAGTGTTCGCTTATTTTTTTAACAATGTTTATCTCTTACATAAACACTGTTTCTCATTTCTCTGTGGACTTTGTCATAGTTACATCTTTGCGCCGCACATATTCGATCTCATGTTTGGAAAGTAGTGTATCTTAACGTAGAGTGCTGTGTATTTAATAAATGTACCACTTGAAAGCTCTTATCTTTGCTCGGCTTTTATTGACTTCGCAGCTTTTCTTTCTTCATTTATCACGCACAGCTATAAATCTGTAAGAAGAAAGAAAAAATCCCTGGTGAAATAAATGCATTATTTATTGTTTTTTTATTTGTTTTTTAGTTTTTTAGGTATTTCTGTTTGGAATTCTGTGGATCTTTTACTCACTGCTGCCAAACTACCGTCTCAGATTTATCAATGTTTGACAAGTATGATATAAACTAGAAGTACACCCACAGAGCCTGATGACATGCTCTTAGGGAGCGGTAATGCTAAGTAGTACAGTGCTATCAGCGAGACAATGCTGTGACCTCCGATACCAGCCCAAAAGAGTGATTATCATGAGAATGACAGCAGAGAAAAGCAACATTTTCCAGATTATGGTGGAAAGTTCCCATCAACCATATTATTTATGTGACATGCTTGATACACATATACTTACCGACATGCTGTAAATTCACATTTTGTCACTGCCCATCTGCTTCGAGCTAAGATTCAACCTTGGAAACAAAGTGGAAACCATAAACAAAACCGAGTGAGTGTTGGTGCACTCATCCATGGATAAGCAGGACTTCCCGAAAAGTGCGAGGGAATGTGCTTTTTCCAAAAAAGTACTATGGTTACGCAGAACTCTTCAATGGTCTTGGAAATGCAGGGATTAGGTTAAGGATTAATATTTATTTGCACAACTGTGTTGACCCTCACTGAACACAGGATATGTACTGTTGCACTTTCCCCCTCCACCCTCCCTGTTTTATAACATTTTTTCTGACATGGCAGAACATTGAGTGACTGTATTTCACTTAATTAAAAGCAGTGGCTGGCCTGCCCAGATGTTATGTGGGCTCCATCGAAAAGGAGTGTTGACATTCAGTGAATAGAAGAGGCCACCTGCTAACTTAACTCTTGGCTTGAGGGGTGATTTGCATTCCTGTGGCCTGTTGCCTGGCATGATTACTCCTAGCACTTAACAATCCCATCTACTGTTTAATATGATGGATTCTTTCCAATTCAGCTACATTTCTTCCTTGTCTGTAATGCAGGAGCTGCTATGAATGAGCTTCTATTTAGGTTCTCCAAAATGACACAACCCTCCTCAACAGTAACCTCTTGACCACATGAAAGGGTAACAATTGCCATACTCGGGGCGGATTAATATAGTGGCCCCTTTTCCTCCGAGACCCCCGCGGTCAAAAGCAGCCAGCAATGAGTCAGAGGTGCCTTGACATTTATCAGATCCGCACTTGTAGTGGCCACTTCTGAAAAAGGTCACAACCTCTGGTAGTTTACCTTTCCTGAATGGTTGCTTGTGAATTATTCATGCATCGTGCACTCAGTTTATAGTATATGTCACAACATGCTGTTGGCTTTACATAAACATAGTTGCATAATGTTGAGATGTGTTTCCATGTGCTGATATTTTTTTTCTACCACAAACATGTTTATCCTCTTTACCTGATTAAGAAAACAGAGGTATCCATGTCAGCAGCTGTTAAGAACATGTTCTTTTATTCAGCAAACAGGATATATTTATTAAGGAGACATCATCTTGAAGCTCCTACCTGACTGGGCCAAAAGTCACAAGTGCTTGAGGATTTAGGTCATTTTAATGTAAACAAATCCACCACCACAGGAAATGCTTTGACCCATGCTGAAAAACAAATACAAAAAGCTGCTATAACGTGCCATTAATCTTGTCAGACCACAAACAGAGGTGGCCACTTAGAGATGACAAAATTAGAATCACAGATTAATTTTTTTTTTAAAAGAGGCAGAACGTTGCAGTCTTTTTTCCTTTTGAAAAATGTAATTCCTTTTAGTGCAGTGAAGCATATCAGTCATCATCTAAAAGATTTCCATTGTCAAGAGGAGCTGGTTCTAAATGGGTAAAACTATTGGTCTGTATTTGTATCTGTATAAAGAAATATTTTAGAAATACTGGAAAAGCAAAGAAGCTGGGATATGCCCCAGCCCCCTGCAACCCTAATAAGGATAAGCAGAAGAGGATGGATAGAAAAAGCAAAGTATTGTCTAATGTAAAAATATCATGCCATCCCTCCTTACTTTAAACTTTGCTTCTAAGGAGCCAGACTTTCTTGTAATGTTCAAGTCTTTCATAATTTTTCTTTGGCCACTGGCTGCCTTCTCACTCAGCCAGTTCAGTCCAGTCCTTGTACTTCACCACTTTCAGGGGAATGTTTTGTTTGTTAAGCCACTTAACCCTGACCTATGAATCATTCTAGCATAAAAAGTCACCTAGCTGAAGCGATGAACCAGTGTTGGGCCAACCATACAATTTAAAGTAAAGAACCGGTTTTAAATTGTAATAGCAGCCTGTCACACACATCATTTGTTTCTATTTTTTTGTCTTAGAAAAAGTAATCTAATTTACAAAAAGTGCCAAAGATAAGAGTTTGATGGGCATAAACAGATGAGCAGTATCTTAAAGTCATTTTCTTAAGAAATAAGAAAAAAAGACCTGACACAGGACCTAAAGATGCATCTGAGTCTTCAATTTGGTCCAGCTACTGTTTGCTGAAGCATCATCAGAATTTGTCTCAGTGTAATGGTGGCTGTCAAGAACCCATTCTTAGGGGAGAAAAAGCAGTGCTATGCTAAATTACACAAGAACTGGACTGAAAATCTGTGGCAAGAAGTCTTTTGCAGTGATTAATCCAAATTTGGCATTTTGACAATACCATATTTAAAGGGTCCGCTTGGCAAAAGCTTTATTTTTTAGCATGACAGACACACTGTCATAGCATACGTGGATAGAAAAACACGCTTCCAGACATGGATTGGCCTCCCCAGAGCTAAGACCTTAACATTATTGAAGCAGTGTGGTCATCTTGACAGAGAACGGAACAAAAGGCAGCCAAGATCCAAAGAGGAGCTTCCTTCACGAAGCCTCTGCAACTAAAGTAATCTTATTTGTTTTGAGTTTTAACCTTACATGATGTATTTCCATGTCAATTTGAAGAAGTTTTAATAAATTGCTGCACCTATTTCACATTTTTCAAGAAAAATATAAAGAAAAGGGGGGTGAGTTAAGACTTTTGTACACAACACATATTTATATCTGTTCACTCCTGTATGATAAAACTTGGTACCTTGCAATACATGACACAAAGTCCACCATATGATTTTAACACTGGTTTTTTTTTTGGTTTTTTTTTAAACTTAAGGCTTCTGGCCCTTTTGAGTATTTAATTTAATTTCCAATAGTTTGTTCCAGTTTATTTTAAAGTGCATCTGAAGTATTATGAGTTATCAATTTTCTAAACAAGTGATGCAAATCAGACTGTTTGAAATAAAAAGCACATGTAACCAGTTGTTCATGAATTGGAATTGGAACTGTTCACAAATATACTCACAAACTGTGAAACTAAACATTTATTCGCCGCCTTAGTGGAGATTAATATGCTGGGTACACTGCAAATGCACACTTCCACACAATTAACCTGAACATTTTTGACTTTGACTATCATTGATGTGATCAATTACTGCTGCTGTGGGCTGCAGGCAGTTTCGATGACTGAAACAAAGCTTGGCTTGATCACATTTTGTTCAGTCTAATATAGCTGTGCAAAATAATAGTCGTTGTTCATTTAGTTTAGTAATTCCATGTTTTATTGATTTACACTGTGTCAACCAGAGATCTTTTTCTTTCTGTGGCTCAGAGTTTATTTTGAAAGTGTCACCTTGCAGTCCATCCACAAGGCAAGTGAAATTGTATCTAATAAAAATGTTGTGTAGTTTACCTAATTCATCTCCCCACATGTGGTTCTCCTTATTTGTATTCTGTGGGTGGGCTATGGCTTCCATATAGCTCAATCAGACCCTCTTGAAAAGGAGACCATATGGGTCACATTTTTACACATTGTTTGGTATGACAAGGCTGCAGTAGGACCATCGAGGAATGTGTCCTCACAAGGGGCAGTGCAGAAACACTATTATGTTTGCTTGTTATTCCCTTATGCGCATAATCTTTGAGAGTAAGAGAAGAGGGGCTCTCAGGTTCTCTAATTTACAGCAGACTGTTTGTGAACTCAGCTGTCAACTCCAATTAATATTATAGTTGGCACCTGTGCATTTCAACTCTTTCTATATTTTTAAAATGTTCTCCTTTCAGTCTTATTAGCATGTTTTAAAACTGCATTGGTCTTTCCTGATGGAATGCAAGAAATAGGCTAGAATTAAAAATTTAAATGTCCAGTTTACTTTGCATACTGCATGTTTTTAAATGCTAATCGAACATTGAGCCGTTTTCTCTTTCTATTGCATGCAGCATTTGCACAACAGATTTTTTCCATGGAAATGCATAGAGCATGGTAGTCTTTAAAGATTCCTTTGTGTGTTTTTTCTTAGCACAAAAATAGCTTCTAACATGATATGTTATGATTAACCATGCCTGCTGTCTTCTTTTTCCATGTTGCTTGGGTTGGACTATTTTTGTCAAAGAACATGTGGAATTTTAAATAATGTAACATATAAACAAAAGCTGATGAACAGGATATTTCCCTGTCTCTGAATCCAAATCTGTGTCTGTCCTGTAATAATCATGGCGATTTACTGTATGAATGAGGTTTCAAATTGCTGTACCTCAAAAGGCTCTAGTGTTAGCTTTTATTTTTTCTGAATTTATTCATTTTTTGTTACTTTGCTTCCTGCATCAGTTTTTTCCAAATGGTTTTTATATACTTTAGCCTTTCTTTGTATTTCTGTTTGCCCTAAAATACTTTTTGGGGGTCATATTTTAGGTAATGAATCTTGACTTATGGTTTTGCAACAACTCCCTGCATTTGAACCAAGCAGCAACCTCTAGCTCAGAAAAATCAAGCCAATACAGATTAGCCAAAAACTGCAGCTCTTGAAGTGGTCACTTGCAGCATGCTCCAAAAGTGAATCATTCCCACATGGACTCTTGTCCATAAAATGCCCAACTTCATAGCAGAATTTTTTCACTGGTACAAAAAAAAAGAAATCATTTGAGTAAATATATGGAACAGTTCGTGTGTGGCAGCTTTCAACCTGCTAGTCCTTTGTCTATCTCATTGCATCTGATCACTAGCTTGTCAGGAAATCTTCATCCAGCTCCTGTGTCAGTTAGCTTTCTACCTGTAGCAGAGTTGGCTAGACTTAGGGCTATTGGTCATCATATTAGCATAGCTCCTTGCCTGGCCCAGCCACTGAACTCACCGCAGCACCACAGGTCCTAGAAGTGGGCTTGCTGACCCCTAGCCAGTTCCTGCTCTTCCACCTCATACTCAGGAGTCTACTTTATTGTGGAGACCTGGTTAACCTTTTCTTGCAATGACATCCTGCCTCAGAATCAACCCATGCTAAACCCAGATTGTTTCCACAGCCAACACAAACTGTCCCAGAGAGTCTGCCTTCTTCCCTGTTGCTCAGTTTGAGTGCTACATCTTGCAACTGGTGAGTGCAGAGACTGCTCCCAAGTCAGTCTGACAGTCAATCCGCCAGCTCCAGAGTCATCCCTCCTGATGGACCCTCAGGCTGACATCCAAGCTAAGAAGCATCCGCCCTCTCTGCTGATACCTGGCAGATGCCTGACTGCACTGGTTCCAAGCTTTCTGTTCCACATCCTGCCTGAAGTACTATGTCTGGCTCGCCAGCCTTAGAGACCTCCAGAGAGCTTCCATCTTTACCGCCAGTCTTCTGAGAGGTTCTATTCTCTCTGTAGTGTTCCTGCTGGGCCTTCAGATAGTCTTCTTCTCACCTCCAACCTTGGTCTTGCCTGACTACCCTACCACTAGGCCAACCTCAAAAGTAGCCTCTCCTGTTTACTCAGCCTCCTGGCTGCCCTCCAGAGTCGTCATCATGGTCTGACTGAGCTGAGTTGCTCCACCTAACTGAGTGTTTACCTGGGTCTTCCCATCCCCTTTGGAGCAATTGGCCCAGGATTCTTAGCTCCCATGTTCGTCTGCTGTTAGGTTATCTGTCCAAACTCTTAGACTCTTTATCTCCTGGATGCTTGGTTATTTTTCTTACTCTTTGCCTCTTTCTTCAGTTTGCCTGCATGGATTTTTGTGGGCTTTTGCCTGCCGACTGTATTTTGGCATGTGTGACTTACGATGAGTTTGAGTTTACCTGGTTGGTGTTTTCTACCCCGATCTTCCCACACATCCAGTAAAGTAATTAGCAAAACACACTACTGTTATCAGTTTACAGCTGAAGGCACACAGAGATGTCAACAGCGATGACTTAAACCAAGCTCATGTGTATTCTGGCAGTTGTAACTTATGCTGTGAAATTCAGTTTCTCCCACCAAGGATAAGAATACACTGAAGGAAATCTCTACACTTTATGATCCAGGTGGAGCCGTAATCCAGCCATGAAGTCCTCTGTGGTGCAATATAAAAATCTGCACAATAAATATCCAGCTGCTTAGAAACATCCTCTTAAATTCATTTGTAACAAAGCGATTTTAAGGAGTGGCTTTGTGAAGAATGAATGATCTGATTTTATTGCTCCTTTAAACAGTGTGGATTGGTAAATGGCCTGTATTTGTATAGCGCTTTACTTAGTCCCTAAGGACCCCAAAGCACTTTACACTACATTCAGTCATCCAGCCATTCACACAGCCATTCACACACTGGTGATGGCAAGCTACATTGTAGCCACAGCTGACCTGGGGCGGACTGACAGGCTGCCGGACACTGGCGCCACCGGGCCCTCTGACCACCACCAGTAGGCAATGGGTGAAGTATCAAGGATGCAACGACCGAGACTGTCGCAGCCGGGGCTTGAACCGACAACCTTCCGATTATAGGACAAACTACTAACTCTTGAGCCCCGATCGCCCCAATTAACATTTCACACTTGCACTCACTAATAAATATAGAAAAGTGATCTTTATTATGAAAAAGACAACTCCCACAGCCTTCCAGTAAACTGCATGTGCACTACAAATGATGCTCAGCCTTTATGATAATGTGTGGACTCATACCCAAAACATCAGTCAGAGGCTTTTGTGAGTAAAAACCATAGGGTGCTCAGTGGTGTGATTACTGTGAGGATAATCTTTAACACACATGCTGTCTCAAAGGGGAGCTGTGGAAAGTTGGCTAAGAGTGGTCGGCCTTCCAGAAAAAACTGTAGGACACGCTGCTATTTTTATAAAGACCTCACATTTTATTTCTTTAAAAAAATGTTTGTGGTTTTTTGTGGTACAAATTTGAATAAACTGAAAATTGAATAGGGTAACATAAGAGCATAAATACACACACACACGCTTATGTATCTCTCTCTTTCTACACACACACACACACACACACACACACACACACACACACACACACACACACACACACACATATATAAATGTACATTCTTCTTTGCTTTTCTGTGCAGCATATGTAATGCATGATTCCGTTTCAGTTATATGCATCAAGTGGTCTGGGGGTGTATATCCAACAAACCTTTTCATCTTCTCTGTATATGAAAGACCATGTCATTATTATTACTTCCATGGTGATGATGATGTGCTATTCGCTCAGCACCAGAACTCTCTTGTTGTTACAGTTCAGTTACATTCATGATGTAGAAATTGAAGACGGATGGAGGATGAAAATTGATTTGTTCTGGTTCCTGTTTTTTTCCCCTTCCACTTTGTTTTGTGTGTGTATCTAAGAGTTTAAAACTTCTTTCATGCCATGCCGAAACCTGTACTCCATAAAGTACTGTTTTTCACATCTGTTTCTACCTCTGTAAAGAGAGAGAGAGAGAGAGATACAGAGAGAGGGAGGAAGAGAGAGAGCAACAGAGTCTAGTCTTGTTCTTTTTTTAATGGAATTTGTTTCCAAGTTGATAAACATGGTGTGACAATGTTTGAATTTTATTTAATATGTTGAGGCATTCATCTTCTGCCTGGTCTCCAGAATCCTCATGCGCAAAATATACTGTTCTCAGGAGAAGCTAACAAACTAGCACAGAGACATCCCCTTTCCTGTCAGGGCATATCTGTTTGCCTAATCTACACAAACTTGGAGACTATGTTTCTTTACAGAGTTTAATCTTCTTAGAAGACATCTTAAGGCTGTGCAGTTGTTTCACTGTGTTGGTGACCTGCTAATTCGAATGCACTGTCAATTTCTTTCGCTTCTTTATTCTACTTTAGTTTGAATGGCTGAACAAAGCAGATATCAATCATTTTTGAATTTTGCAGTCACACAGATTTATTGATGCCATTATACAACAATCCACTATTTGATTATAGTGGACTCTAATTCACATTTTGAGAAATTCAGTAGCTCATATCTAAAAAACTGAAATTATATGTGAACATTGAGACTAAATTTTGATCATTTGTTCTAGTTTTATACCATTTCAATGTCAAATGCGTAAGTCTGGACATACAGTTTTCCTTGTTGGATGAACTGTGTTCTGGTAATAGTGTTTAAACTCACCTGCATTATATTGATTCCTTAGATGGGGAAAACCCCTCAAGGCCAGTTCTTTAAAGTGACCTTCCCCAGCTGGTTTTTGTCAAGAAGATAAACCATAGATGCTGAGTTTCCTTGAAAGCTGAAATATCAAAAGGCTGGTTCGGTTTAAGCGGTTGATGCAGTTATCAAAATTATACACTAAAAAGGCCTTTCCCCCCCTCAGGAGTCCAATCATTCCCCTCAAAACAGACGTCAAGTACAGACTTAGATGAGCTGCAGTTTCGGAGTCACAATCATCTGAAAAGAATTTCAAACCCAACAAACCACGAGCACCATTAATATGAATTAAAGTTTATCTGGTGGCAAATATAATTTAACAAATACTAATTTGGAGAAATGCACTGCAATCAAAACCAGATTTAGATTTAGTTTTAGTTTAAACCTTTAGAATAATGCTGCTCTGCTTTTATTTCATTTTTGCACCCAAGAGGAGCCTTTAAAAGTCATTAGAGGCAATACACTCTTTAGATTAAAACATTTAGGGTGACAACTGACAGTCATCAAATTTTAGGTCTGCTACAAAAAAATGTCTTTCCCAAGGCTGATCGCATGAGTCGCCCTCCTCCCCTAGGAGATTGAGGTACAGGTCTCTCATCACAGGGCAGTTCAGCTTGGTGAGATGGTTGAATGCGAGGACTTCATTAAGCCCCTCTATTGTTAACATCTGGGTTCAGAATGCCTGTTTTCTCTGGTAAATGTTGCCTTGGCTTAACGGGGGATTTTATTACAATATGCAGTTGACATTGGCAGCAGTGGCACGCCTGGCAATGGAAACTGTTCCGCCGGTTCAGGTCACAGGAGATCAATCAAAGCAGGCTGTTACACTGAAACCTTCAATTCTCAGCAGTACAGGGAGGTGAATGTGTATGTGAACTTGTTGAATCAATTAAGAAGAAAAAAATCACCAGCTTTCAAACTGAAGGAAGCACCTTTTCCTGGCCTTTATTTTCTTTATTTCATTCATTTATTTTCCTTAAAAATAAAGGAAAATACTCCTCTGTGCTTAATTTCCTCTCTCACTCTCTGGCCTCCTCCCCCCACTTTAGGAGATGTGGTTGTCATGACAACCGCTGAGTCATCCTCTACTGTAAGTAGCCATCCTCATATTTAATCTCTGCATGCAGCGAGGCCCTCCGCCATCCAGGCCTGCATTAGCACACGGATGCGACACATTAATTTGCTCTGGGTAGTTCCCGCGATCTGCGAAGGTTATTCCCGGAGAACGCGGAGCTGCAGCGGGCTGAGCAGCAGCCACACGGATGGGTAACGTGCCCACCACAGTGAAGCACTGCCTGAGCTATGAGCAACTCATCGAGGACTACCCGTGGCTGAGACGCTGGCTGCAGGAGGACAAGGTGGGCGTCGGTTTTCCTTGTTTTTATTCAACTGCACATGTTCGGCCACATGACTTCCTCATGACAGAGCAGAGAGGAGCACAACACAAGGCCACCTATGCGCAGATGCGCAGATGCTGCTGTAACTAAGGTGGTTAAAAAAAGAAGAAGAAGAAGAACATGCGAGTACCCTTTTCTAGTATTACGTAGAGTATTACGTTAGTATTATGTATGTTTGGGGTAATAAAATACACTCAATAGAATATGAATAGAATAAAATACAACAGAATATGAGCTGCCCCAGGCTTCATTTTCAGTTGTAATGTAGCCTATTAGAGGTAAAAGTAGTGTAAGTGAAAGAGTCCGCTCGATTTTATTCCTGCATTTTCGAATTTATTTTCACTTTTACTTTATAACATTTTTGTAATCCAAAGTATGAGTATATTTTACAAATAGTTCATGCCTATCTGTAAAAAACGTACATTTCACTCATAACAGTTAAATATATTGCAAGCTAAACCACATGCAGTACTGTGCAAAAGTCTTCAGTCAACTTTTGTTTCTGTATATTTTGTTTCCAAGTCTTTTATGTAATTTTCTAACTTCTGGGTTGCTTTTTCACTCATTTTCAGTTCAGTCCTTATACATAACCATTTTCAGAGGAATGTGTGTTTTGTTTGTTTGTTACACCACTTAACACTGAGCCATGCATTAAAAGACCGACAACTTAGTAAAGATCGAATTTTAGCTTAAAACTCTGCATGGTGTGTAGTGTAGCCTTAAAAAATTGAGGAAACTAGTCAAGTGGATAAAAGAGGAAATGTCACACCTAGAAAAACTATCTATGGTAGTTAAACAGTGTCTGTTCCTCTTATCTAATTAGTCAGGATAAAATGTGGAAAAGAACTGACACAGGAACTGAGAGATACATCTGCCTCTATACTTAATCTATCTACTGATCACTGAAGTCTCAGTGGAAGAGTGGCTGTACAACAATCTGTTGTACCTGTCTCCTGTCTCCTGTCCAGCTATCTGTAAAACACGAAGAATCCTCTGTCATAGTTTGGGACTGGATTTCGGCCAATGGTGTTTGGAATCTTGTCAAAATTGAATTATGAACCCAGAAAAGTACCATCAGATTTTAATCCACCTTGCATTACCACCTAGAAAGGGTCTGATTCGGGAATATGTTCATTTTTCAAAATGACAATCATCCCAAATACACTGCCAGTGCAGTGAAAGCATACCTGCATAGAAAAACACATAGTGGAACACTAACAACCATGGATTGGCCTCCCCAGAGCCGAGACCTCAACATTATTGAAGCAGTTAAAGCAGTGTGGGATAATCTTGATAGAGAATCAAACAAAAGGCAGCCAACATCCAAAGAAGGGTTTTGAATGTCCTTCGAGAAGCTTGGAGAACTATTCCTGAAGACTAAAATAAATTACAAGAAAGCTAGTCTAAAAGAGTTAAAGCTGTGTTGAAGAATAAAGGTGATCAAATCAAACATTCACATTCAAGCTTGTTAGAATTGCACAAACACTGTTTTCATGTAATACACTGTTTCCATGTATGTTTGCACACGTTTCAGCAAACAACTGCATCTATTTTCCATTTTTCTGGTAAAATATAAAGAAACAAGGGGTAGCTAGACACTTTTGCACAGTACTGTATATTTCTGAGCACAGTACTGTGTGCTCAGTTTGTTCTGAATAAATATTTGATATCTATCTTCCATAGATATAACACATTAGCTCTTTACCCCTTAAAAAAATGTACAAAGATTAGACTAAAAATTTAAACTGAGTGGATTCTTTCACATTTCAGGCCTGCTTGTAGAAGAGTTAAGCTGGGATATCGGTTAGCTTTCTTTGTTTTACTGCTCCCCACTGGAAAAAACTTAAATAGATATTTTTGACGGCTATAGTCAGATATGTGGTTTTCACTCTCTGCTTAAATATCACTGTTGCTAGGTTCATATTGTAATCTTTAAGGTCTGTTGAGGTTTTGCATTTAGTTCAACAAGGGTCTTTTTCTTTAAAATTATAAGGTTGAGATCAGGAAAAAAAAATACCTTGATCCTCAGAATATTCCTTGCGGTTTTAGTGGAGTTACTCTAACCCTTCTTCCCAGCCTTTCCTCTGTGTCACATCTCATGAGTTTGCATCTTAATGACATAGCAAGCTTATATTTGGGTTCTAAAGTTTCAGCTGGGTTGAGGTTGAAAGTTATTCATGTTAGAAATAACATGACCTGGAGCATCCCACGGTAAAAGGATGGCTGACTCCTCCGTGTTCTGTGTCTTGTTGAGCGGTGTTTCTCTTTTTATTTATTTAACCCCCCCTCCCCCCCCCCCATTTGATATTTTCCCAGACAATTACAGGACATGCCTATCCAGAGTTTGTTAAAATTGTTGAAGTTGGGCCAAGAGATGGACTTCAAAATGAAAAGGTATACTCTGCAATTACAATCACAAACCTTATTTATATTTATGGGTGCCTTTGTTTTCTAATACTATACACAATCCTCCCTGGAAACTCCCATTTTTTCTATACATATAACAATTCATAACATATGGGTTTTGTGCCATAATTGCTAGAAGCATATGTTTCACATTGTCTTTGAAATTGAATAGGAAAGATGACACAGCTTCTGGCTGAGTTCACTCTCTTTACCTACCATTTAGAGATTATACTGGATGGGGGGAAGTGATTTTATTTCTACAACATATTACCTGAAATTTGGCATATAGCGAAGCTATCTCAGAGTTTTCAGCAAGTGCAAGATTGATCATGTCAAATATGGCTATCTGTATAAATAACACGCAGCACAGCAAAATACTAAGCCATATATCTGCTTGTTACATCTCCAACTGTATCATGAGAGGACTCAAATACAGAATAAGCTATTTCAATTTCATTGTTCCCCAGGAGATTGTTCCAACTGGGGTGAAAATCCAGCTGATAGATATGCTCTCAGGAACAGGCCTGTCTGTGATCGAGGCCACCAGCTTTGTCTCTTCAAAGTGGGTCCCACAGGTAAGAATTCTTCTTTTTGAACTGCAGTTAAATGCTGAGTGATTTATTAGGCCCTCTTTCTTGCTCCTCTAGCATCCTTGTTGGAGCTGGAGATGGTTTTGGAGAAAGTATTTTATTCATTTTCTCCTTCTCAATCAAATTGTACCCCTATTTACTACTTGGATACAAAGTCAGACGTTAACACATGTCTCCTTTTGTACTGAGAAAAATTATAATTAATTTGATCTTTAATGCTGCCTTCAAACGTGTGAAAGCATTTGTGAATTCCCAGGAACATGTTAATATGTTATTATGTTATTACCTTACCTATGTTATTACCTGTTATGTTATTACCTTACCTATGTTATTACCTGTTATGTTATTACCTTACCTATGTTATTACCTGTTATGTTATTACCTTACCTATGTTATTGCCTGTTATGTTATTACCTTTAACATCTAATTAATATATCTTCCTCCCTTTATTTAGATGGCAGACCACACTGATGTACTCAGAGGAATCCAGAGAGCATCTAATGTTCAGTATCCTGTTTTGACACCTAACTTGCAAGGCTTTCAGGATGCTGTAAGCATGAATTTTCACTTCAGCGTAATGACCTGTGCTATATACCTTTACTCATATAATTCATCATGTTTACTCAAGCTTGTCAGTTTGAGTTAACTGTTGGCACTACATTGTTTTTATTAAAATAGTTCCTGCACTTACGTTAGCGTGACTCACAGTGAACACGGTTTTACAAGTTTGTTTTCTCTGGCGATTTAAGGTTGCAGCTGGTGCTACTGAAGTGGCTGTGTTTGGGTCGGCATCTGAAACCTTCAGTAAAAAAAATATTAACTGTTCTGTTGATGAAAGTATGCTGAGGTTTGAGGAAGTCATTAACGCTGCCAAAAAGCGACAAATTCCAGTTCGAGGGTTAGTATTCTGCCTATTAATTCTCTGCTACAAAAATGAAAACAAAATGAATGAAATTAAATGAAAACAATTCCCTTGATTTCTGAGCTTCATGCAGATTTTCACTTTTCCCCATAGGAAAACAGGGCATTTGAACATACTGCAGTTTTTATATAGAAGAAAACACACAGTTCAGTAATGATACTGTTATAGCAAAGTTCCAGATGTTCACCAGGACTATCTATGCATTAGTAAACCACGAGGCCAGATGAGGTAAACCAAACAGGCTAACTTTTACTAATGTGGGCCTTTTATCATATCATGGAAATGTGTGTGTGTATATATATATATATATATATATA